CTTGACCGAGGCGAACCTACGAACTATGAAGAAGCGATGGTGAGCCCAGATTCCGCAAAATGGCTTGAGGCCATGAAATCTGAGATGGGATCCACGTATGAGAACAAAGTGTGGACTTTGGTTGACTTGCCCGATGATCGGCAAGCCATAGAGAATAAATGGATCTTCAAGAAGAAGACTGACGCTGACGGTAATGTTCCTGTCTACAAAGCTCGACTTGTTGCAAAAGGTTTTCGACAAGTTAAAGGAGTTGACTACGATGAGACTTTCTCACTCGTAGCAATACTTAAGTCTGTCTGAATCATGTTAGCAATTGCCGCATTTTATGATTATGAAATTTGGCAAATGGATGTCAAAATTGCATTCCTGAATGGATTTCTGGACGAAGAGTTGTATATGATGCAACCAGAAGGTTTTGTCGATCCAAAGGAAGCTAACAAAGTGTGCAAGCTCCAGCGATCCATTTATGGACTGGTGCAAGCCTCTAGGAGTTGGAATAAACATTTTGATAGTGTGATCAAAGCATATGGTTTTATACAGACTTTTGGAGAAGCCTGTATTTACAAGAAAGTGAGTGGGAGCTCTGTAGCATTTCTAATATTTTATCTGGATGACATATCGCTAATTGGAAATGATATAGAATTTCTGGATAGCGTAAAAGGATACTTGAATAAGAGTTTTTCAATGAAAGACCTCGGTGAAGCTGCTTACATATTGGGCATTAAGATCTATCGAGATAGATCAAGACGCTTAATTGGACTTTCACAAAGCACATACCTTGACAAAGTTTTGAAAAAGTTTAAAATGGATCAAGCAAAGAAAGGGTTCTTGCCTGTGTTACAAGGTGTGAAATTGAGTCAGACTCAATGCCCGACCACTGCAGAAGATAGAGAGAAAATGAAAAGTGTTCCCTATGCTTCAGCCATAGGCTCTATCATGTATGCAATGCTGTGTACTAGACCTGATGTGTGTCTTGCTATTAGCTTAGCAGGGAGGTACCAAAGTAATCCAGGAATGGATCACTGGATAGCGGTCAAGAACATCCTGAAATACCTGAAAAGGAATAAGGATATGTTTCTCGTTTATGGAAGTGACAAAGGGCTCGTCGTAAATGGTTACGTCGATGCAAGCTCTGACACTGATCCGGATTCTAAATCGCAAACCGGATACGTGTTTACATTGAACGGTGGAGCTGTCAGTTGGTGCAGTTCTAAACAAAGCGTCATGGCGGGATCTACGTGTAAAGCGGGGTACATAGCTCCTTTGGAAGCAGCAAATGAAGGAGTCTGGATGAAGGAGTTCATATCCGATTTAGGTGTCATACCTAGTGCATCGGGTCCAAGAAAATCTTTTGTGACAATACTGGTGCAATTGCTTTGGCAAAGAAATCCAGATTTCACAAGAGAACCAAGCACATCAAGAGACGCTTCAATTCCATCAGAATTTTTTTCTTAATCTTGGGTGACTATGACTTAATCTCAAGTCAAATCGCACTCTGTGGTCAAAATTACCGGAAGGTCACCCATCCTTACACTACTCCAGCCCGAGCATGCTTAACTTCGCAGTTCTATCCAACCCCAGCACCAGCTCACTTCACAGGCACTTGTTGATATATCTATCATATCAATCCTATTAAACCTTATTGATGTCTAGGACTTTCTTCATGTTCATGAGTGTGATGAAATTTTGAAAAATATTTCAAACTTCCCGGTCCTATTACGTATCATATTTTGAAAAAAATTCCAAATTATTTTTTGAAACCAAACTTTTTTTTTTGTTACTAGTGGCGCACCTAGCAAATGGTGCGCCACTAGTAATTTTGATTTTTTTCATTTTCCCCCCTCTAGATCTTAAAAGCCCCATATCTTTGTGCTCAGGAAGGTCATATTACGTATCACTCCATATTATTTCATTTTTCAAACTTCACGGTCATATTACGTATCACTCCACAAGCAAGTAATACTCACAAAGGACAACTTACTTAAGAGGCGATAGGTCGGCAATTCATGGTGTTGTTTTTGTGCTCAGGATGAGACAATACAACATTTATTCCTTGAATGCCCACTTGCTAAGTTACTTTGGAGAACGATTCATATAGCCTTTAATATCAATCCTCCAGTAGATATTGTGTCTTTGTTTGGGACGTGGTTAGCTGGGGTTGAACAGATCATGGCAGCTCGTATTCGGATTGGAATATGTCGTTATTATGGGCTATATGGAACTGCAGAAATGATATGATTTTTAACAGACAACACAGCTTAACTTTTTTGCAGGTTATCTTCAGAGCTACAACTTGGATCCGTATGTGGTCCTTACTCACTCCTATGGACTCCAGGGAGCCTTTGGTTACTCGATGCAACCAATGGGAGATAGTGGCTCGGGTTATATTCAACCGGTTCGGATGGCGTTCGCATAACAGGATAGGAGTCTAGAGAGCTTATCCTTACTATTACCGTATCGGTTGTCTTTGTCCGCTTGTAATTTTCCGGTTTATGTACTTTGTTTTGCTCCGTTTGCGAGTTGTAAGACCTTTACGTTGATACTTTCTGAATTTTTAATAAAAGGGCCGCATGCATCATCATGTTGTAGAGGTCGGGGGTATACCTCCATTTCCAAAAAAAAACTTTATCTTTCCCTAATATTAAAGGGAGGATTGTTTCTCCACCTTTTTTCGTTTACGGTGGGACCAGAATAATTTTTCGTCCGTCGGTACCCAGGCGATTTCTGGTTCGGGAGTTTTCTCGTCCTCCTGCTTTGTTTCCGCCAAAAAAGAAATCATAGGACGCACAGCGCCATCATGAGCCGGCCCATTAGCGTGCCTCCTCGCGCCAGTGAAAATGTCCAAGGAAAAAAATACTACGCCGTAGGAATCAAACCCTAGGCGCTCACGCTGGACCTCTAGGAATGCTACCAGCAGGACTAAACGAGACTTGGTGTCTAAGTATGTGTTTTGATTTTCGGCCGAAAAACGAATTTCGTGTATCTCGCCTGGGCCCGGTAAGTGTTTGTGTCGGCCGAAATTTTTGGCCCAGTTTGAAGTTTTCTTTTGGCCCAATCCAACTTCAGGGGCCTCCACACAGTGTGCCTATCGAAGCACGACTGAACCCTAAACAAATCACGATCCCCGCTCGTCCTGTGTGCGGCGGCGGTGGCGCGGCGCCCAGACTCGGCTTCTCCACACTTTGCCTCCTGCCTCCTCGCTCGAGCCTACCGCTCCTGCCCCGTTTAAGCCTTCCCGACGGCCCGGCCCCTGCTGCGGACCTCTGCCGGCTGCGGGCTGCAGCTGAATCCATCGGCAACTCCTCAACTCTGCAGCACATCTTACTGTCCTTGTTTCAATCTTGTCTTCTAGAGCTGATGGCGATGTTGGACTGATGCAAAGTTTGGTAAACAATTACGTATATACGTACTCCTCAGTGCTGTTCTACTGCTACACTTTTGCTCTGCTGGTTTTCAATTTTTCGGCCGAATTTTGGCCAGATTTCGGTTAAATTTCATTTAAAATTCAAATTTTGGTTTTGTAATTTCGTCCGAGATTTGGCCAATTTTTTTGAAATGGCCGAATTTCGGCCATCTCGTCCAGGGGCAAAAAAATGCAAACAGAGAACCAAAACACAGGTCTAAGTGGCAGCACAACATCTAAAATTAAGCTAATAGTCCTGCCGGATACTGAGAGCAAAAGATTATTTTTGGAAAAACTAAATTTATTTTCTGAACGCGAATATTTTACAAAATTGAAACTCGATTTTTTTTAAAAAGGGAACAATATTTCATTTTTTATCTTTTTGAAACATGAATATTATTTAACACGAACAATTTCTAAAAACTAGGAGGTACTGTAGTGATTTTTTTTGTATTGCGGACATTTATTCTAAACACAAATATTTTATGAACTTTCAATTTGAAAAGGCAATCATTTTACAAAACATGACTTTTTTTTGGAAAACTGAGAGGTACTATAGCTAACATTTTTCTAAATCTATACCTATTAATAAAACTAGGTGAATTTTCATGATATATCTGACACAAACTACTCAACTTACATGATAATAACATGGACATATATTATGTGCAATGCTTTTGCCTATTATATTGGCTGGATGATATTTTTTTTCTTTGTTCAACGTTCTTGATCTCACCGGACACAAAGGAGGCTCAACTGTCTAGCTATTGGATCTCGCCAACCTTGGTTAGTGACAACTGGTACTGCGACCACCGATGACATATACGACAAAGAGGACAAGCGGAAGCATGGGCTGGTGTTATACAAAAATAGAGGATGTGGACCTGAGGACGAGGTATTAGTCATGTTTATTATATTAGGGGCATGAGGGTGAGGTGTTTAGCCATGCTTAGTGATACTCTCCCGTTGCAACGCACGGACATGTTTGCTAGTAATATAAAGCCGGGAAACCTTTTTCTTCTTAATTAGGCCTTGTGACTTTATTTATGAATCAGGGCGAAATTTTATTTCGAGGAAGAGAAACAGAGGCTTTGCATGCGTGAGAAGAAGCTAGCTCGGGGAGGAGGCAGTGTACATGGTGGACAAGCGCACGGAGGGAGAGAGGAAAATCAGAGGAAGGGAGCGATGTGACAGGGGAAAATCGGACGACTACATACCGATAGATTACTTTTTCTTTTTTAGGCAAACCTGTAGATTAGCTGAAGTATCTTGTGTGGCTGGCCAACCACCTCTTATCCGCGTTTACTTGGACTGCTTCCGTCTGGGCCTTTGGTTTTCGATTCTCGGGTAGGGAAACGTCCCCGCCTCTCCGGCTCCATTTCCACCTTTCCCGGTTGCTTCACCTCCGAATCCCCGATTCATTGCCCACCGGCACTCCTCCAGATTCCAGAGTAGCAGTTGTTCCAGCCTCCACTCCTGGGATCTGTAGAGCTTAATTACCTGGTGAGCAAAATTTCGCATCTGCATCTGTATTCTGTAGAAAGTAGTACTAGCGAAATTTTACTTCTGATGATCTGTGTTTTGGTGACATAGCGAGATGGAGCTGAGTCCAATAAGTGCCTCGCTAGGTGCCTTGCGCTCCCTTCCACGGAAGCTCGATGAGCTCCTGGCGACCAAGCACCGGACTCTGCGGGGGATTGTGATGGACGAGATCGAGCAACTCACAGCTGATCTTCGCATCCAGTACAGCTTCATGCTGGTGCTCTCAACTGCGCAGGACCCTCCTATGAGTGCGAGGTACTGGATGAGGGACGTGCGCGAGCTTTCCTATGACATGGAGGACTTTGCCGACCAATTCATCCAGGCTCATGGCCGTTCGAAGATTTTTTCTTTAAAGAGAAGGCATCATGCTCATGGCCGTGCCAAGATCCGTAGAGCTATTTTGCGCAAGCTTATTTATCGGATGAAAGACATGTGCGAGCCGTCCTATGACATGGTGAAATTTGTTGACCAATTCATCCATGCTCATGGCCGTGCCAAGATCCGGCGAGCTACTTGCCGCAAGCTTGTTTCTCGGCTCAAGATTAGCCGCCTTCCAGGCAGGCGGAGGTGGCGCTCATGGATCACCAACATGGTCTCGGAATTCAGGACTCGAGCGCAGGAGGCGACTCGGCGATGCCAGAGGTACAAGTTGGATGATTGCGTCTCCAATTCTGGATATTCTCGTGTTGGCCATGAGCTTCCAACTATGTTGCAAGATCCTAGTGATCTTGTTGGCATAGAAGACGCGATGGATGAGCTTGAACGATGGTTGACCGATGGAAAAAAGCCCCTCAAGGTGGCGTCCATCGTCGGTGTCGGGGGAATCGGTAAGACCACTCTTGCCCAAAAATTGTGGGGTAAACTCCATGTACAATTCGAGTGTGGGGCATTTGTGAGGACAGCCCAAAAGCCCGATATGAGGGGTATTCTCAGGAACATACTCTTGCAAGTTCGCCCCCACCAACCACCGAACGCTGGAGAGATGCACCACCTGATCAACGACCTTAGACAATACCTACAAGGCAAGAGGTAATAATTCTCTTTAACCATTTATTTTTCTGCTATATTATAGTACTAGCTTCATATTCATAGATCTTTACTTCGTGGAGCAAACCATGTATTATATGGTTGACCAATTAGATGCATATTTTGTTTCGCAACGTAGATCCACTTTCATGGGAGTTACCGCTTCGTCATG